GCCGAGTGATGCTGCCCCGGCTCAGCCCTGCCGTGTCTTCCAGAGCACGCTGGGGAGCATGGTCAGCATCTACAGCGAGGCCGGCGACTTCGGCAACGTCGCGGTCACCGGGGGAATCTCCTTCTCCCTGAGCTACGAGCAGAAGACGCAGACCTTGCTCATCCACGTGAAGGAGTGTCGCCAGCTGGCCTACGGGGACGAGGGCAAGAAGCGCTCCAACCCGTGAGAGCCGGGGGGGCCGTGGCTGGTGGCACTGCTGGTGGTGCTCGGCTGGGTTGTGGGGGGGTCTTGGCAAGGCAGGAGGTCCGGGGTTGTCTTGGGGGGGCTCGGGGGACGAGCTGTGGAGAGAGCTTGGTGAAGGGCTGCCTGCTGCTCCCTGCAGGTACGTGAAGACCTACCTCCTGCCCGACAAATCCCGGCAAGGGAAACGCAAGACCACCATCAAACGCAACACCGTCAACCCCCTGTACAACGAGCTGCTGAAGGTGAGCGGGGACGGGCTGGGGGTGCTGCTGCCACGAAGCAGGAGAGGGGTGGGCTCCGACCCCTGAGGTGGGGGCTCTGCAGAGGTCCCACGTCCAGCCACTGAACCCCCAAGCTGGACAAACCCGGCTTCCAGGCTGGGTCGCTGCTCTGATGGGGCTGCGGCATCAAGCCCCGGGCGCCGTGGTGGGGTGCACGGCTGCGGACATCAATGTGTGTCAGGACCAGTGTTCCTGGCTCCTGCTTCCCCTGGCATTGCGGTCTGTGGAGGAGGCTCCTGGGCCGTTGCGGGCCGGTTACGCTGGCAGGAGGGCAGGCAGCACGGCTGCGGAGGCAGAGATCAGGCAGTTCGGGGCCCCGGGCAGAAACGCTTGGCGCTGCCCTGCACGGTCCCCGCAGGCTGGTGGGAAGGGCTGGCTCCATCCCGAGCCCGGCAGCACGTCGCTGAGGCCAGGCACTCTCCAGACAGGAGGGAAGTGGGAACTGTGGTTTGGTTTCCCGGCTCCCTCAGCCCCGGGTTTGCAGAGGTCTCGTGCTGTGGCCACCTGAGGCTCGGTGGGCTGGCAGAGCTTCCCGTGTGGTGGGACAGGGTGGGGTGGCCAGGTGCCATGACTCCTGGTCCTGGCTCTGCACGGGCTCTGAGGACCGCTTGCCTGGAGGGCACGGGCTCCTGCACCACTGCCCCAGGACTCTGACGTTTCAGCAGGCTTGGAAAGGAACACAAACAGTCTGCTTTGTGCATCCATTGCTCCTCAAACCTGCCTTCTCTCCTGCTGACGAGCTGT